TAAGAGACACAGCAGAGAGGAGTCTTCAGCAGTTGTTTATGTACTAGACCAGCATACACTGGTGAAAGCCTCACTGACCTGAAGAGAGAAGTGTTGGCCCTCAGTGATGTTGTGTTTAAATATAGACTGTAGTTTATGTTTTCTGCTACATCTGTTGTGTCCTTCCTCATGTGCAAACACACAGTAATTGTTCACAGGCTGAGCAGAATTACCCGAAATGTAATTTTGAATAAACCCAACACACTGTTGAAAGATTTTTCTGGGTTATGAGGAACAAGGTAGACTGTTACAAAGGAATATCTGTACGCTTGACTCAGATATAAAGAGAGAAAAGACAAGTAAGAGTAGAAGTGAGAAAAGCATATGCTCCAGAGACACAGCATAAATTACATAATCACAAAGCATCTGAACTATTGTCTACATCACAGCGAATGTCTCATTGTTTGTAACTTTGTTCAGAAGACATTTGTGATCATTGTCTCAATTTGTAGCACTTTCAGGTGAACACAGGTCAAGAATAACTATTCACAGTTATATCTGCACTAGGAATAACAATGTGGAGCAGTTACACTCTTTACAATGCCAAAGTTAATGTGGACCGAAGGCAGCTGGATCTAAGCACAGGGTCTGTTTTATATGTTTTTAGGGACAGAAAAGATGCCGGCTCCGTGATGACTCATCAATCATTATTCACACAAACTTCTTAAGACTAATACACCCACCACACCACCACCACCACCACCACCCCACCCCCCTTACACTCCATCAGATGAAGAAATCTGTCTCGATGCATCAATCTCTGACAGAACAGTCACAGCATGGAACGCTGGGCTTTACATAAAAGAAAAACAGTGTCTGTATATTATATGTAAGACTATTGAGAATGATACACCCAGCATAAGAGCGGGGACACATTTGCATGCCTAATAATGGCCTAGCATAGACACTTACTGATTGCAATTAGACACTGAACTACTAAAAACCAACACTGTGGCAGTTTTTCATCATTTTGTTTTGTGTTTAGATTGATAAGATCTGACAACAGCAGATTTTTGTCTCGCCTTGTGAGCCCACACTCCTAAACATTGTCAGAAGACAATGCGGCACGCAGGGCAGCCTGTCTGCAGGCACAACACGCACTGCAGATTTAACAAAAGGTAGATCGGCGCACAAGCGGTGCCTGCAATGCTTATTCACCTGCAGTAAGAGGACTGAGATGTCTCATACTATGACTCAGTAGTTCAAATACGGTCTCATACACGCTGTACTTTGCAGATACACAGACACTGTGAAGCATTAGTGGGGTTACTCTTTGTTAAGAAAATGTAGTTCGTGTTCAGGATATTTAAGAAACTGAATGTGGTTTCGGCTTGGCAGTTTGCCGAGCGGCACAAATGTTGGTTTGATAAAATGAACAGTACCAGTGCTGAGCTGCTATGTTATTATAATAGGTAAAGAAAAAAAACTGACTTTATTGTGCTATATTTACTTTTATTGACTTAACCATTTTGTGCTGTCACATGTTTTACAGCGTGAATGCCTCAGTCTGTAATCTATAAATTTCGTTCATCTCTGAACTTTGCACTGTTGTTCAATAAAAGAAACAACAGCACTTTAGTTCAGTAGCTGAAGGTTTACAGATGTCCACTGGTAAAGGTATTTTCCAGAAAATATTGATTATTTTTTTAGTTGAAATAAACCACTCTGCTGCTTCAGAAAGTCTCATCTAATATTTATTATCTATAGAGAGTAATCTTGATGTGACTGCATCCCTCTTGATGATGTCTTATGAAAGGCTGACGATGCCTCATAAACCACTAAACAAAAATAAAAATAATAAAAGTGCTATTCAAAGGAGGACCGACTCAAACGTAAGCACAGAATTAGAGGATCCAATCACAAGCATTTTACCTTCTTTTGTTTTGTATGTAGTCTACCTCATCGTGGTTGTTGTATTGGTAGTTTGGTGGATGTGCCTTGTACTGGTTGATGGTCATCTGTAGCCTGTGTACTATCAGCATGCACCGGCTGTGATAAGTCATTATATTCTAATTTTAGATTGCCGTTTCAGGAACTGACCAGGGACACCAGCTGACAATTAGACTCAAGTCAAAACTCTGGCTCATCTACAGTCATTCTTCTGTTGATCAGTGAGCAATAATCTGATCCAATAAATGAATTAATAACACAAAATATGCACAATCATTTTCATGGAGATTAAACTTTCAAATATTTTGTCCTAAACTCCAAAATAAGTGCTTTCTAATTGCTTTCTAGAGCTTTAAACCATAATTATAATTATTATAGTTATTACCTACAGTAATCTATTTATTCTGAATTGGGGTTTCAACAAACCTCATGATGACAACTAGGAAAGATTAGAAAGGGCGAACGATCCAACTTGTGTATTATATTAAATCAGGTTAATCATACACTGATTAGCAATTAACAGTGGAGCCAGATAAACTGATATTGCATTATATTAGATTAGATCGTTTCCATTTGATGTTGTTACACAAATTAGGAAAAATAAACCCAGGAGAACTGACTCACTGCCATGGGTCTCATTTAAATACTGATATAATAATATGGAAAGCAGGTCAATAAATCATTGAATATGAAACATCAAAAAAAAAAATCTAATTATCCTGCAATCTATCTTTTTATAATATATTTATCAAGTTCCCTATCCTCTCACTTGTGTTGGTGCACTGGGGGCTGATTTTGTTAGCAGGTAAGGGCTATAGCCTATAGCATATATGCTACATGTCTGCGTTTGATCGAATTAGTATTCAAAAGCTGTTGCTGTTCCTGGTCACTTCTAAGCTACAGTTTAATCTCTGTTGCTCAATATTTGCAGAGTAGTACTGTATACCCCACACAACGCCCTTGTTGGTCCCCTGGTTGTCTTGCACATGTTCCCTGTCCTGTATACCTTAAGAGCACAGATATAATTTGACTCTCTAAGCTCTGCTAACAATCTGCCCTCTGGCGCAGCATCCCGCACCGTCTGCACCCTCCCTGTGACCCAGTGCAAGCAGCCAACAGAGCAAAACCAGGCAAACATCTCTATCACCTGCACTCATTTTAAAAATGAAACTTTTGAGATACTTTTAGCCTAAAATGAGAAATATAAAACGAGCCTTTCAGAACAAAGACAATCAATACCAAAACCACTGGACCATCTGCTCACAGTCTAGGCCTGAAGACTAAAAAAAAATGTCTTCAAAAATGATGCATTGCCTGCTGCTGTTGCTGCAGTACAGTGCAACACAAGGAGCCACAGAGTGGCACAAGAAAACAACATGTCGATTCACATGTGGCTCACAAAACTTCTCAGCAGCACACTCCATACATATTCAGATGAGAAAAACCAACGGAAGATCACTAATCCTCTAACAAACGAGCATGTATGCTTGGTTAAAAGAGCCCAGCCCTCAGACTGCAGCAGAGATGCCCACCTGCTACTGAGCCGGCAGCCAGCCGGCAGCCAGCTAGGAGCTAAAATGGAGAAGTGTGTGGGCTGAAAGAGGAAGCAATGAAAAAAAAATGCTTTAAAAAAATCAGAGCAATGGAGAATTTCTGTGCAACAGTTTGTCTTAAACGGTGCTGGAATTAATTGCGTTGACTTTAAGTTGGTTGATTGTTGCAATTTAAAAAAAAGCACAAAAGAGGGGGACATCATGTTTTTTTGTTTGTTTTATTTAAAGTACAGCCCCCTCTGATATGATTTATCCGTGCACAGATGCTGCTGGGATGAAGTAATCAATTATTCATCTGCTTATAGCCCAGTCATTGTATCTCTGAGGACTCCGGATAACGGAACAAGCAGGATGAGAAAGCAGAAATTCGACACCATAAAAAAGAAGTGAATGGTTACATTGTACTCACGTAAATTCCCAACAGGAGTGTCAGCATTGCAGGCCGTAAAGAAAGCTTCCCATTGTCAGTGTCCCAAACCTCTCCAATACAGAATCCACAGACAGGGCGACAGAAAGGAAAGGGCAGGGTCTGTCTGGGAGAAGAAGGGGACAGTAAGGAAGAGGACAAGGGAAAGGAGGAGATTAGGGGAGTGGTTTATGCGCAGGATTGGTCAGAGGGCTAATGGGAGGAGTTAAAGAACCCAATAGCATATGGAGGAGGCAGGGGATATGCAAAAGACGTGGAAAATCTGGAGAACTGACTGAGGGATAAATCTGACTACTGCAAAGGGGTTTGGCTTCCTTGGGTACCACCCATTTCCTTTAAAAGCACAACGTTTATTTCTTTACCCTTTGAATTTTGGGGATGTAAACACAAAAACGATCAGAGTAAAACGAAAAAGCGCAAAACTGACGGCAATATAGTGATTTAATTATATTACATTTCCTAAACCTTCCTTCCAGAGACTTTTGTAAAAATCGCTAAACATGTAAAATGCTAATTATTATAAAGAGTATGTTGCTCGAAAGCTGACGAGGTTTTTTGTTTTGTTTTTGTTTGTTTTTTAGAGAATGGAAGGGGATAGGTGTGTTCATTTAATAATAGGAGTCTTGCTAGTTTTAGTAATACAGCACTCTAGAGGCCAGGTGGTGGTATAGTATGGAATATGTAATGGGATATGCTGTGTGTTTTCACTTAGAAGAGGCTTTTGAGAACAAAGAAAGACTCTGGCTTTTTCCTGGTGAATTCAACAGCTTTCACTTTGGGGGGTTATTTGAAATGAGAGTATGTGTTCATGCAGGTTGAGAATTTTGAATACAAAATGAGCTCACTGTATAATAAAATGCTGGAGGCCGTCAGTGTTAGGTGGCTGTTGTGTTGCAGGCTATAAGGAGTTTGTTGGGGGGTGGGGCTTGGGGGTGAGGGGCAAACAATTGTCTCTTGGTTTTATTCTGCAAGGTGGAGTTGCCATGGAGACTGCTTCCAGTTGAGTCAAGATGGCTGCAGCAGTCTGGCAGCAGCAGTGACTATAACAGATATACATAATGTAGGTCAGACTGACAACACTGACAGTGCTTTTCTCAACATGGTTTAAAATAGATAATTCAACAAAAAATAACACAACCCTAAAGTAATCTATTACAAACATTTAAATAAATAATCATTTATTTTCATTGAACTGATCTGTATTTTTATTTGTTTATGACTGACTTAGTAAGAGAAATCTAGGTCAATATTATGCCGTCAAATGATAAACAGCATGACTTCCCCTTTGAAGGGATGATGTAACAATGAAAACAACAATAACAAGGCAGCCAGCCATCACACAGCCATTACTGCACTAGAACTTTAAAGCAGGTTCAATGCATAATAAATAGAGATCTATCCGTGCATCCGCTCTTCACATCAGACGCTGTTTTTATGACCTTTTCACTGTTCAGCATAAGAAGTTTAAATAAGGATTGTTTTTCATGAAAATGATGATGAAAATCATTTACAGTCAATGGCCGACTGAAGTCTAGAATCCATGAACATCACCAAATGCTGCATTTTCTCCCTTGAGAAGCCTCTAATGCAGCTGCTTTCAGTTGATGCTTGTTTGTGGGTCTGTCTGTTTTCAGTTTGTTATTTAACAACTGAAAAGCTCTGTTGTGTTGAGATCAGATGACTGACTTGCCTGATGAAGAATCTCTCATGCCTTTGCCTTGAGAAACTCTGGGGTCTTGCAAAATGATTTGGGTCGTTAGCCATTTGCCCTGGGAAGCACATTCTGTTCAGTTGTGGAGCATGTGGCTGAAAATGAGAATATAGCCATGTACACTTCAAAACTCATCCTGCTGCTTGTATCAGCAGGCACATCATCATTAAACACTAGTGACCCAATTTGGCAACCATACACGCCAATGCTATAACATTACATTTACTGTTTACTTGACAAATAATGTGGAATTTTTTGGATCATGAGCGGTTTCTTTATTTCTCTACACACTTTCCTTACTGTTCTGGTTTATGGTGATTCTGTCCAGAGATTTTTGTTCTTCAGAAATCTGCAGGCACTTTTGTTTTCTAAAGAAATCCAGTTTGGTCTTTTGTTCTTGTTGTAAATTCCCTGTTTTTGTATCTTTGAAGGCATCTAATGACAGACTTTGACAATAGTACGCCTACCTCAATGAGAGTTTTTTGACTAGCTTAGATGTTGGGAAAGGCTTTATTAGAAAAGGGAAAAATCTAGCTGACTACCATGTGCTTTCAGTCCTTTTGGTGAAAATGAGGGACTATGTTTGTTAAAAAAAATGCTTAAATTCAAAAGCGGTTCAAGCTCACGCTTTAAATCAAGCTCTTTGATTTAAAATCTACAACTAGTGCTGTGAGAGGCGAAATTACAAAAATGTTGCCATTGTCTAAACACAAATGGACTTAATGTGATCAAAGGTTAGCTGTCCATTTCAGATTGTTATTATATACCCAAACACAAGCTTATAAGGGCTTGAGCAGATAAGCATTTTGAATTGCTATTGATTATTTGTTTGTAAACATAAATGGAGTATAAATATAGTTGCCTGGTTTGAGTCTTGTACTGAAACATATTTATCACTGACCCTTTACCATATCCATGCATGCTAGCCTTATAAATATTTTATCATAGAGAATTATAAAAAACAAAAACATTTGAAATACACCAGTCTGTGTATATAGAAGAGGCTGTTTTTATTACTTCATTATTTCAAGTCAGACAGCCTGATAGAGTACCAAAAACCTAATTAACGCAACTCTGGCATCAATTGCAGAGCACTGGTTGCCGGTAGTTGAATAAACAAGCTCTAATGTTATGGTACAAGCTGTGGCCTCTTTGACCCAATGCCTCTGCTCCCACAAAATGAAAGTACTGAGGGTCTTCCATAAGTGAAATGTACCACCATTGTCAGCCACCAGGTACTGGGCCTTCAACTGTGGTAATGTCTTAAGTTCATTTGGGATCAACGCCCTTCATTTGGACTTTTCATAGTTCAGCTCTGCTCAAATACAGGCTGCCTTTGTAACACTGACCCATTTAAGATCAAACAATGGCTGAATTGAGTAAGACCCTCAAAGCAACCACACTCTTCTGCATTTTTGACATGCTTCTGTGATAATGTGGAAAAAAAAGAATTACAAGAATGTTTCACAAAAAGAGTTGAAAACAGAGCAATACAAATATACTCAGTTAAAAACAAAACAAAAAAAAGGAAATACTGTATTTAAGCATGCATTACAAGCACGCGTAGTTTAAAAACAAAAACATCTAACCAGGATTTAAATACAGCCTCTGAGCCATTTTATTCTCTCTCTCTCTCTCAATGACTAGAAAACAGTCATTGGTGTGTCTCCCTCTCTCTCTTTCTGTCTCTCTCCACCTTCTCAGTACCTTCTGCACGTTTTGCACGTCAATCCTTCCAAAGTTCACACACTGTAGGCATTAAACCATTTATCCCATTTTTGAGAACAGTTTAGTCAAAATAGTCTTATTGGATATGGATATAAATGCAAATACAATGAATGTGCCCATCTTTCTACATCAACCAGAAAACCTCCACTTTAAGCCAACTATATTTTGCCATCTAGTGGTACAACATACAAAATGCCTTCTCCTAAACAAAGAAACCTTCCTCACTTGCTTAAAGCTTTCTTGAATATATTCACAATTTAGGAAAAACTACCAAAATAGAACAATCTTAACACTTTGTTGTCATCATGAATTAATTGCAATTAACATTAAATTAGATAAATTATCTTTTATACATGTAAAAATATATCCCAAAGGCTAAACACCAGAGCCTGTGGGCTTATTTACAGTGTCCTTGCTGCTTTGTAGTTTGCTCATATCGCCGAGGCGTTTTAAAAAACTAAAAAATAGTCCAGTGGTCTCAGTTTTGAACACCACAGGCTTGCTGCTGGCTGGAACAGTGTCACTAGTTATCTGTACATCGTTGTCTGTGGGCTGCATCACAGGAGCTGAGGAAACAGGTGGCTTGATTGTGTTTTCTGCTGATGTGTCATTTGTGTCTTCAGCACCTGATTGTTTTAAGTTGTGAGAAATGTCAGTATAATCAAACACTGGTTTGGAGGGAGGGTGTCCGGCGCCCTCTTGCTCTGGCATCGTCCCTTTTTCTTTAGCCACATGATTTGGAGTTCTGACGGGCAGTTCAGTCCACCGATTACTTTCCCCTGCCTCGGTTTTTGGGACTTTAGTAGGCAGCGTATGGCGGCGTCCAAGGTTACGTTTAGGGGAAGGTTGAGGTTTGAGCAAAACTTGAAGCAAATCCTCATTGCTGGGGTCATCAGGATACCTATCCGCTTCCTCATCAAATGTGAGCTGACGGCGTATGGGCGCATTTGGAGGAGGAGACTTCTGATTTTCCAGAGAGTAGTCCCCAGATGAGACGCTGCCACGGCTGTTCTGAAAACGCAAAACTTTTTTAGATGCTTCACGCAGCTGTTGGGCCTCCTCCTCATTATTATCTTGCAGATCTTCCTCATTATCATCAAAAGATCTAACTGTGGTCATAAGTCTAACAGTCCTTTTGAAAGGGTTCCTAAGTCCTCGAGAGTCCTCTTCTTTGGAAGTTTTCATCTCTTCTTCATTAGAATTTTCACTCTCTGCCATTGTGTCCTCGATGTCTGACTGGGCTTTGTGCGAGTTCCGTAAGTTCGCAGTGAGTTCAACTGCTGAACTCCACTCTTTTCTGCCCATGTCCTTAGCTCTAACTGAGGCTTGAATCTTTTGATTTACTGGGGGAAGGGTTTCCTGAGAAGTAATTTCTGAAAGGCTCCCGTTATTGGGACTACCATTAGTTGGGCTTCCACGAGTCGATGAGGGCTTTTCTGCTCTTCTCCTAGAACCACGTTTGATGACAAAGTTTTGTAGCACAGATTCTAATGCAACACTATCCATTTCCTTATCTCTACTGGAGCAGGTAGCTGTGGATCTCCGCTTGGCTGCAATTTCCAGTCTGTCTCTGTGTCTCCGTTTCACCTCTGCAGTCTCTCTAGCTTTGTTTTCCTGCAGGAAAAAAAAAATCCCAGTTCAAACCCTTTAATTTTTCTTTTATCTCAGTACAGGAATATGCCAGCACATATAGCACGTTTATTACCTGCATAGCTCGCAAAAATCTTTCACAAAAGGAGTTGAAAATGGAGCAACACTCTTCCAGTTTAAAATTCTTGGCATCCTCACAGAAGTACTGTGCCACTCTGTCACTTACAGACTGTAACTCCTGAAGATCAATTTCTACTTCTTTCAAGCAAACCTCCGCTTCCTAATTGGAGCCAAAACCAAAACATTAGAGCATATACTCTCTATTAAAATTCACACAAACTGGACCAAGTAACGAATCACCCACCATTAGAAAATCCTCCATCTGTGCCTTTAGGTCTTCCTGCTTTAAAGTGTTTGCATTGGCATCTTGCACTTTCTTTATTTGCTTTCGATACTCCCCTTCAATGTCACCTTGATGTATTCTAAAAGAATTTTTGAAAGCATTTCTTCTCTTATTCTGATGATACAGCAATACAAGAAGAAAAAAGCCATACAAGACACTCCTATATGGCTTTTAAAAAGGTATTGCTTACCTTGCTGCAGCTTCAATGTGTTTGAGCTGTTCTGGAAATTTAAGCAGTGCTGTGTCCACCTTCTGAGCTTGCTGTGATGAATTAGAAAGTTTGTTGAAAATCTAATTATGCAACTTCATCTTAAGGTGAGAAACACAGACTTCTCAAACAAGTAAAAGCCACTTGCCATCACAACATAGTGCATAAGATTCATTCCAGGTTTGTTTGCTTTGGTATCCACTAGTTTCAACAGAGAAGACATTTTGAAGCCAACTGCATTGCCCGCGTAGCCGCCCTATGATCAGATAAACATATTTAGATCAAACAAATATAAATACAAAGAAAAGTCATCCAAGACTCCACAAACACAATCATTATATACTCACAGCATTCATGTAATTTCCAGTCTTAAGGACCAGGCGAATGACAGCATGAAGATTATCGCAATCTAGCAGCTCTAAAAGAAAACATATATTGTTAACTCCAACTCCAAATGGGCGTACAACTCTGCTTTAATGGGTCTCATGTTTCAAACTCAAGGAATGCAGACATTACCCCTTCCAGCAGTGGTCAAAGTACAGATGAATTCTTTTACTTCATCCATAAGGGGAAAAAATTCCTCCTTCAGCACCAAGCAGCTCAAACGCTCTTCATAGCTAAAAGACAAAACGTTTCCATCATTATTACCACTGACATTTAACATGTGATTTTCATTGAATTACACTCAGGTGGCTTACCTGGGGATCTTGACCAACAGTAACATAAATTGATCTGCTTCAGGGAGAGCAGACATGTCACCTTTGAAATTAACCAGCTGCTTTACCTGCATTTGTGAAATCAGAAAATCTGATTATGTATTTGCAAAGTAAATAAACAAAGGTTTAGAATCACATGACGCAATAGACATGTTTAAAAAAAAACAAAAAGCAACTACAGTACCTCCCCTTCATCCGGAAGCATCTTGCATAATTCCTGCAGTTTTCCAGTACCAAAGCCCAGGCCATTTCCTGATTTGATATCCTCAATCATGTCCTTTATAGACCTGTAATAGAGGTCAAGTGAATCAGTTATCTTTAATTATGTTTTTACTGTTGCTTTGAAATATCTCATTAGTTCTGAGTGTCTGCTTTCATATCACACTTTTCTATGCTTGGTAAAAAAAACTTGGAGAAAAAAAAAAAGCTGCTGACACATACAAGCCTCTACCTGCTCTAATCACTTTATTTCAACCCTCAGAAAAATACATGCTGTGCAGGACATGAAAATGATGGAATGGAAATGTGCTCAGATTGCAGAAAAACATATTTGGTAACAGCATGAGAAAGAAAAAAGTAGTTAGATTAATGTATCCATATGTTGTTCTCTTGTTTTGCTGGTGACACAGTAGTTTGATCACAAACATTTTACGGATGTTAACAGTAACAGGATTGTTTTCATTCCTTTTAAGATCTGTTGTTTATGACAACTAGCTTTAGGCAATAGATTTACAATACCTCGCAAAAGTGTATCTGTAAGTTACATCAGGGAGATAACCTGTTAGAGCTGTAGAACAGTCTAGTATAGATCAGACCTGCCAGGACATGTCGGCTTTCAGAGATTTTGTGAGTATGATGCAGTCTTATTGCATACAAATATGCCTGTCTCACCTTGTCCTCAGTACAGTGTAACATGGAAAGATTATTGTGCAAAATACTCACACCTTCACAGTGCTACCACTGACTCACCGCTTGAATTGCTTTAGGAAAATTCCAATGTTCATGCTCCTCTTGGAGCTGAGGACAGAAATCTGGGGGGCAAAAAAAAAGGAGAACAGAGACCGGATTAAAATCTGCTTGTCAGCTGCTAAAACGGTTTCATTGTTGACTTGAGCTCTGTATTTCGTATCACAGACATCTCAACTTTCCAAAGAGACAGTCGAATCCAAAGGTTAAGAATTCTTTGAGTTGATTGTATTGAACATTCCAGGCAAAGATGCAGTTTTTGCACCTTTTCACCATTTCTCTTACAAAATTCTAGGTGAAAGGTCAAAGTAAAAAGTTAAAATGTGTTGTTAGTCAAACCATGATTGATCTACACTTCATTAAGTAAATGTGCCTAGTGGTGTTTATTAAGGACGGTAGCTTAAATACAGAGCATGGACAACAGAGTGATGTCAGTGAGAACACAATTAGACCTTCCTTCAGCAAACAAATGAAAATAATAATACTCCACCCTTGTACTGAGTGATTTTACATCATTACATAATGTTTCTGACAGAAACATTATACTATTGTTGTCATTTATTGTATTTATATATTGCAAAGTTGGGCCTATAAAATGTAAATTGTAAAATAAGCAAATGTAAATTGCAATTTTAAGTTTCACATAAAGGGTAATAAAGTTCCTATAGTATCACTATATTCCCAGTTCATAAAATCACCACTTCGGTCACTCTGGTTTTAAATGTTAGGAGAGGAAAACATTGCAGGGACGTCTGTTTTTTCTTATATGTAAGCTTGGGGGTGGGGGGGGGGGGGCTAATTCAGGTCAAAAGAACTTGCTTCCATACCTCAGCAATAAACAGGAAAGAATATAAAACCTTTCAATCTATTGTACAAACCTTGGGGGTCAAAGTTCCACTACATGAACGGGTGATAGTGACACATTTATAGCCTGACTAGCTGCACTCACCATTTCCCCTGCTGTGGCAGAACTTGGCAGGCCCCTCAGACTCTGACGGTTCAGAGCTTTGATTTGCTGCTGGGCCTGCTTGTGGCTGAACAGCTCCTCCATATGATCAGTATCCAGCTCATATTCCCCATCAGTTTTATCTGCTGTCCAGATGTTGTGCTTTCCTATAACTGTGTGTTTGGGTAGGGTCTCCCAGTTGAAGTTGCGCATCTTGGAGCGCCGGCGCTCCAACCTTGAAATTGGACCCAGGCCATGTAGGGATGGAGGTGGAGGAGGTGGTGGCGGAGGAAGTGGAGGTGGTGGGGGTGGAGGTGGGGGTGCAGGAGGACCTCCTGGCTGCATCTTTTAATAAGAACCTCTCAGCAGGTTTTGAATGCATCCACACTCATATTCATGCATAAAAGCTGAATTTCAGCATATATTGGAATGCAGTGAATGTAGAAGCAATTCTGGTCGTTTTTACAGGAATGTGGTGCAACAGTCAGTCCTGGAGTGACTTGTTCAAAGTGTTGTCAGTTAGGATGATGCATTCCGACTGAAAGAAACAAAGCAGGGTGGGGACACATAAGCTACAGATCTTCATACACTCTACAACAGTGAGCAGCTTTGTTTAGCACAGAGTACAGAATTTACTTTCTTTACTGTACATAAGATTAATTATGGGAGTGATGCCGCCGATTATTTTCATAAAAAGTTTCCTGAAACTTGTGCAAACACTATAATAATTCATGATCCACTTTGGAAACGCATAGTGGCTACTTTAAATCTGCCATAACAGTCACTTTAGGAGATCTAAACGCTCCTGGTGTTTTATCCAGTACAGAGCTATGCTTGTCCACCGTGATCGGTAAACTACTAAAACCAATGTTTGTTCAAACACTTAGCATTATTTTTAGTTAAAGACCGGAGAGAAAGAAATTAAAAGTCAACTCACCTTTGTGTTGGACTCAGCACAAGTCCCATTACTCCGCTTCCCTTTTTGTTTCTTTTCTTATGGCCCTCTTGCTGAAATTTCAAAAGTAAAGAGTGACATCAGCCTGGATAGAGTGTCGAAACTACCTGCGTGTAAATGACACGCCCAGGTGAACTCACTTAAAATCCATGACAGCCCACACCTTCCCAGGCACTCTGGGATTGGCTTCTTTCTTTCTCTCTCTCTCTTTCTTTTCCCTTTGGAGTTTGGGGAGGCGCTGCGTTTCTATCCATCTGTCAATGAGTTGCGTGAGTAAGCGGTCAACTAGAATGACAAATATTCTGACTCAGAGAGAAAACCCATTGAACATATTTAAAATGTAATAAATACATTATCAACTTAATTAAAAATGAATTAAATGTTATATACTTTAGTAAATATTCCTGCGGTGAGACCGTCATTGATTTGAATTCATTATATATATTAATTTTCAACTAATATTCAGGCTTTAATTCTATATTATGGGAGTTCTCTCACAAAGGTAAGCGGTATAATAAGTCCAGCTCTGATTGGCTGCGTGTCGTTTGACTTCCGCAAACATAACTTGCCGCTTTGATGGAATCGCAACCCCCCCCCCCCCCCCCCCCCCACTCCATTTTTTAAGCATAATTTCACATTTTAATGCACAAGAAAAACTTAAATTCTCACATTTGTCTGTACATATTTTGACCGAGACCAGCACCAACATTTCTTCTTGGTAAACTGCTTGAACCTTGCTCCGTAGATGCTCGTTATCAGATAACGATAACGGATTGCTCACCAGTCACAAGCCCAGAATGTGTATTTGTTTTTTTGTAATAGAGTACATTTAACACCACTAATACAAATTAAGTCGACTGTTTTTTCTATGTGGTGTATATTTATCAAAATCCCACAGGATTTCGCCTTCGACTACATGCCTCAGTTTGAGCTCTGATGACCATATAAGGAAATCCGTACAACGCAATCGGACCCCTGAGCTGGGGACTCGGTACTTAAAAACTTTAGTCCCATTAATAAAACAGGACTGCAAGTCATATTATGATAGAAAATTGACATAAACATTTTTCAAGATCGATACTTCAAATCATCCCGCAAATTATCTGCAATGCGTTAAACAGTGTTAGTATGCAAGCCATGGCATTTTCTCAGATACTGAGGAAAACTTGCATGTTGTTTGCCTTTTCCAATGGAAAATGACCTGTGGGATAAAATAAGATTTTAAGCAGGAAGTGAAAGCTATATTGAGGGAAGTCTGAAGGGACTGACAGTAAAGAATATATTTAACCCTTGTATGGTGTTCGGGTCTGTGAGACCCGTTTTCAGTTTTTCTCAAAAGAAAAATTAAACAATTAATTATTTTTTCAACCTGAAATTCATTGGCTTTGGCTTATTTTCTGTGAAGAACATAAATCCGAACTAATTTTCAATGACCTCATACTGTACCTCCCCCTACGCATTTACATTACATACAAGGTGTTCGGGTCCACTGGACCCAGGCCTAATAAAAGTGTTGAAAGTGTAGGTCCTGTGTTCCCACACTCTGTCTTCCTCCTTTCTGGTGCTGCTGATAGTGTTTTCTTCCCCTCCTGCTCCCGCACAAAGTTGCAGCATTGTTGAAAATTCAACTATCAACACCGTCTGCTCTGACATTCCCACACATTTTACCCTATTTCTTGAGGGATCCAAATTTTATTTTCTCATACCCTGTCCCACCTGCAAATTAGGGGCATAATACTATAAATAAGACTTTGCCAGTGTGGTTCTTTATCACAACTGATCAAGATGGCAAAAGATTATCTGCTGCGAGGGCCATCCAATTGAATTTGGAAGAGAGAGGGGCTTCGGATGATGATGTTGACAAAGAGGGTTCAGAATATTTCACATTTCTGAAAATTCAGAGTCTGACAGTGACTTTGAAGAAGAGGATGAGGTTGAGCACCATTTAGTAACAAAACGAAGACGAGTACCCCATCTGCAGCCAGCTCCAGGACCAGAACAAGCCCACCAGACAGCAAGAGAAGAAATATGGATGTCAATAACTGGTGAAATTGAATGGTCTTCTTGCCCAAGAAATGAGCCACCCTGCAGAGCTGTTACTGTGATAATCCAGGGCCAACACGGCTGAAAGTTACTCATGTGCAGGACATCAAGTCTTCATTTGAGCTTTTCATCCCAGATTCCATCCAGAAAATTATTCTGGATTGCAGTAATCTAGAAGGAAGGTGTTTTTTTGGAGAGAGGTGGAAGGAGATGGACCAAATTTATCTAAGAACCCCAAAGGCCTACTTTGGGGTTTTTATCCTTGCAGGAGTTTTCAGGTCCAAAGGGGAATCCACAGAATCCCTGTGGGATGCAGAAACCGGCAAGAACCTTTCCGTGCATCAGTGTGTCTGGAAAACTTCCACAAAATTTCCAGGATTATCCGTTTTGATAACTGAGACGACAGACCAGCTCGACGGCAGAGAGACAAGCTAGCTGTCATGAGGACAGTATGGGATAAGTGTGTGTACCACCTCCCCCTGTCTTACAATTTAACATAAAATTGTTTGATAGTGTTAATTTGGAAAGCCAAAACTCTAGCGGGTCCACCAGACCCATGAACACTGGCTGAGTAACAAAAATATGAACACCACACAAGGGTTAAGACTTAATTACAAGACCAAATGTGTGACCACAACAAACTATCATATTATATAACTTATAAAGGTAAGATTAGATAAGAGTGTGTTATAATCTAATCTCTTAACCTTAATCTCTTATTCTGATTTTATCTGAGAGCACTGTGACCATTAAAAATCTATTTGTATTAATGGCAGAGAAGTTTGAAAAAGCAATCATGTCTGTGATTCTAATATTGACAGATTGATGGCTTTATTCACTGCATACACCACCTCAAAGAAAACATTCAGTTTCTTTAGGCTACTTCTGGTCGCCCTGTCTCATTCTTTTAAGCCAACATCAAAAACCTTAAGCGAACTTTCAGGGAAAAAAAAGTGTATTTTAAGGAATAAGAAATAAGGTAATCCACTGAAAGCATGTTGCAGATATATTTTATCATGTACATAATTAAAATTACATACTGAATATTGTGAGTTTTCTTTACATACATACTGTGAACTGTAACCATACGAAACTGACAGCCCCTGTGTCGAAAGCACATCTAAGTGAAACAAAACATCCAGCAGACTTTATTGGATTTGCAGAAGATAAAGACAATCAGCTGACTAAAACAATCTAAGTAACATACAAATTATGTTACAAACAGGTAAATAAATAACGCAAACTATAACAAATGAGCTCATACATTCTGTTTTTGATGACGCTGACACTTGTACTGTAACCTAAAGTGCACCTTGATCCACTATTCCCATTCAGTATTTCAAAAGGAAGTTTTGCAGTTGCACAATGCCAGCTCCTACAGTCACTGCAACACTGGCTGCGTGCCATGTTTTGATACGGATTTCTTTATGATTGTTGAGATCTGATTAGATTAGGAATTGATGGGGATTTGCTGTTAAACACAAATGTCATGTTTGTTCAGGCTTGTTTCCATGTGTAAACTCCAGAGTAAAAAAGACAGATAGTTGCAATGGTGCTGGACTTGATCTAACACTGTATCCAAAATTTAGGTGTAAAATAATTATGACTGTATATTAGGTTAGAGAAAAATCATGTTTGCTAAATATATATATATATATATATATATTTACTGTATATATATTCCCCTTCTACAGAAACTGTAAACTGACCATTCAGGCAGGGATTTTAACAGTGACAGTAGAAACATAGTGGGGCAATTTTAAAAATGAATCTATATTCTGATGTGTTTGACTCAAAAGTGTTAAAATTGATCTCATGATCACATGTGCATAAGGAAAATAAATATAATTTCTGAACATTGTGACTTGCTATTTTTTTTTAAGAATTCCTCCTATTTGATGTACACTGAAATATTAAAAGGGAACCTTACACAACAATACAAATACATCAAAATAATGCATGTGCAAACTGCAAAGGAGAATCTCGACAATAGTTGACTATCCTGTACATATATAAGAGATGGAAATGATTGTGCTAACTAAAGAGTAAGAAAATAACATGGGGTAATTTTGTGATTTAACATAAAACAACATAAGAACAACTTAAAAAGTTGTCCATCTATGTAATAAATCATACTGAAAAACATTACAAAAGAGCTATATCTGGCTGCTACTTATTCTACAATATACTCCTTTATCCATTTAAATTCGCCATCTAACCACAATGCCAGCATGAAACTGTACATGTCAAAATGCTGAACCCTGGATGCATATTACTGCTCCTCCAGCCATGATGGCTTATCTGATCCTGGGGGCTTTAACTTTACATTGAACTGTATAAGAGTTTGTTCTAACTGCTGCTGGTTGCCAGCAAAATAAGCGGAGATGGCATTATGGAAGAGAAGCAGCTGCTTGTGCATCACCTTCACCTAGAAGAAAAGAGAGGAGAGAAAATGACATTACAAACATGGTTTCAGGTGTTTACATGAAAGCACAGCCTGCAGACATTTATTTGGATCACTAACTGCTCGGAATACATTCCTAAAAATAACTTGCACATTCCTCTGAAGCCTATTCTCAGGAGTCAAGCAGGCCGTTTTAAAGATCTCAGAAAATACTATCTTAAGTTTAACTTGAATTTATTTGCTATTTTACATTTATCTGGCAAGAATTTCCATGTTTTTTTTAACAGTTCTTGTCATGAGTGACATTTCATTTTCCTAAAGCCAGATTTATTAACCAGGGATCAGAGTGCCAGGACCTTCACCACAACAACTGTCTGATCCACAAAACACCGAACTCCTACAGCCCCTTTCTGCAAGTGATGGCCCCACAGGAGGGATTGCTGATGTACTGCTTTTGGGCTGTGCCCATCCAGGCCCTGTGGTTTTAAGTATCTTGGAGTCTTGTTCATGAGTGAGGAAAGAGTGGTGCAGGAGATTGACACTGTACTAGTCTGTTGTGGTAAAGAGAGATCTAAGTGTGAAAGCAAAGCTATCAATGTGCATTTCCAACCTTACCTAGGGACCCAACCTCAGAGTATTGACTGAAAGAAGGAGACTGTGAATACAAGTAGCAGAAATTAGCTTCTTCTGGAGAGTTGCTGGGTTCTAAAATATGGGTCACTAATTTGAGCCACTATTTATAGTAGTTGATTCGAAGCATCCTCAACATTTTACCTGCATCTTTGTTCAAAACTGTCTTTCAGTCTATCGGCCCCCGTGTGCTCTATATAACTAGTGCTCCACTGCTCTTCGGCCAAGTCCCTGCTTATTTTAAGAAAGATGCCATTCAATCTCTTAAAAAAAAAAAAAATTGACTCTTCTCATCCTCAAAGTTATACACCAATCTAAAAATGACTGTTTATTGGTAGCAGTTTAGAAAAGGTTGAGACTAAGTAGCATACATCTCTTTTAGACAAATGCAGCATTCTTGGTACATTTAAATCTGGCTTTCATAGAGCTCATTCCACCAAAACAGCTCTCTTTAGTCTCCAGTGACATTTCTATGCAAAGCGATGCAGGAGAATGTTGTTTTGCTGATGCTGGACCTGACCTCTGCCTTTGATACTGCTGACCATGACATGATTCTCCACTTCTCTTGCCTACTGTGTGTCACGAGGTTCTGTTATGGGGCTCTTATTTTGTCTATCTGTTCCATCTTCAGCATATTTTGAGCACTTTTAAATGACATTTATTGTCACTGCTACACAGATGACTTTCAGTTAAATATCTCTTCTAAGCCCAAGATGTTTCTACTGTGACTTAGACATAAATGCATAAATGATTAGACTGTATTAAAGGTTGGATGGATGGCAATTTTCTCCAGCTTACTGAAGAGGAAACAGAAGTCCTTGTTTGTGCCCCTGTCAGATCTGTGCTTAAGGCAATGGAGATTCTAGGTCCCCTTGTCACATCTGATAAATCTTCCATCAGGAACCTTGAGGTCATTTTTGACTCAGCTTTGTCCCTGGAAGCTGACGTGGTTCGCTCTTGCTTTTACCAGTTGAGAAAAAATTCCCAGGTGAGTTTCAGGCTCTAAACTGGAAATTCATACTCATGCCTTTATTTCATCACTTTTAGATTTTTGCAATTCGGTGTTTACTTGTTTCAACAAATCTTCCCGGAGATGTCTGCAGCTTGCTCAGCATGCAGCTACGACACTGCTGACTGAGTCTTCCAAGTACTCAAATGTCACACTGATACTAATTCAGTTGTACTGGCTTCGTCATTAACCTTCAGAGTGCGCTTTAAGATTCTAGCGCTGACTTTTAGAGCTCTGCATGATCAAGCATCAGTGTACATGAGTCAAATTTTACATTCATACATCACCAGCAGGTCTCTGAGGTCATGTGATCAGGGTCTATTGGTTTTGCTTCACAAAAGACTGAGAACTAAAGGCGACTGAGGTTTTTCAGCAGTGTTCCCCAGACACTGGGAACTCTCTCCCACTGAGCTTAAGATCTGTGGACTCTGTGGTCTCTTTTAAAAAGCAGCTAAAAACTCATTGTTAAACTTACTTTATGTTTTTGTGATGAAGCACTTTGTGATATTTATCTTTAAAGGTGCTATATATTCAATTTTACTTTGCTTTACTTTCACTCCTCCAAGTAAGGAGCCAGTTAAGGACGTTTGGGCATCCAACTAGGACATCTCATAGTTGAGATGCTTTAGTCATTCCTGTCAAGAGGAGGCCCCTGAGCAGATGCAGGCACACACTAGAGAGATTAAGTCTCTCGGCAAGGGCAGCTCTTTTTTCTGCCAATATAAGTTCTAATTGAGGTTTTACCTTGAAAGTAGCAGAAATGCAAAAGATTCCTTCTTTTTGCTGTGTAATGATAGCAGTTATATTCAACACTGTGCTCACTAAACACAGTAACATGGGTATCCTTCAAGCAAGTTAGAAGAGACATTGGCAAGACACAGTACCGTACCAAATATTTTAAATATGATTGGGGTTTTTCTTGTGTTTTTTTTCCACGTTCAGAATGACCATCTCAAAACTATTACGACCAGCTGTTTTTAAGGAGGCATATCATACTGCTAAAGGCAGTTGTTTGTGCCCTTAATGTTTGCAAGTGCCTAGCCTGTTTCAAAACCACATCATCCATGAATGAACCCTGACTTTGGGTGTGGTTTAATCTAGGCTTTGCTTCATGTGAAACCACAATGATGTCAACAACACTGATGTCATGTGGTTGCCAATGCTGCATGATTAGGTAAAAATCACTGGAGCCAAAACCAGTCCCTGTACCCGTCCTAAGTTTTCAACCCTCAAAAATGTAAATGTCATCACCTGCAAGCAAAACTGCAGAGCCTGAGTGTGTAATTTCATAAGGAATAAAAATGGTATGAAAAAAGGAATGGGACAGCATTTTAAACACTATAAAAAAGATTAATGAATTAAATTTGTGTGCAATAAAGGAGAGGTTGTACTGCCCTGATTTAAATCTAAATGTTATTGCAACCTTTTGGGTTGCCTGTGTGTCTGTTTGTTGTTTCCTCATACTTTTCTTTTTAAGTTTAACCTAAAGGTACCCTTAGGTATAGTCTGCAGAAATTCAGAAAGTATGCACAAGACCTCAAGAAATCTGCCAGAGAGCCCTCATGCGCTTGATTTGACAGTAGGGCAGCCTTAAGCCCTCAAAGGCTTTAGCACAAATGTGCCACAAAGTTGGTAAGTCTCTGAGTGTGGACACTGGGATTATCTCCTAGAAGCAAGGCTTGCTATTCAGCAGCGATCTTGAAATGCTTCAAGCACTTCTTTAGATAATGACTTAAAAAAAATACCCAAATTAATTGAAATGGTCTGAGACATAAAACCTGCATGTGCAGTGTAACGAGGAAATCTGAGGGGGAAAAAAAAAGTGCCAACTTTGCCCAAAAAAAGTGAAGAAGTTATACTTGTATCACTATCTTTCACTACTAGAGCTAAAAAGAATAATAATTCAGAGGACTGCACTCTTTAAACATGCAGGGATTTCAAGAATAAAACTAGACTGTAATCTGAACCTTGTTTTCTTCCAGGAATTTAAGCTTGATGGTGACATCACTACGCAGCCTTTCATATTTGTCTCTGTGGATCTGGTACTCATGCTGAGCCATCTCAATGCGAACCACGCCAGCTGCATCCCTTGGTCCCAAACTCAGTTCCTCCAGATCAGAGCGATAGGCATCAAACTCAAGTCTGAACACAAACACAAGACTGTGAGTTATTTTCCAGGCAACCATCAAGTTTAACCACTTAATGGTTGTACATCTTATTAGTTCAGTACCTTGCATTTTCGTATTGCTTAATCGTCATCAAAGTATCTTCCATTGTTTTGTTGACCAGTGTGTTGACACTGGATACGAAGAAGTTGATGGCACCAAGCAGAGCCTCGCCATTCTTACACAACAGCTTTTGTGTTTCTGCATTATACCCAAACTCATCCTGCAGAGAAATACAGAGGTTTTACCTGCCAATGTCATGACATGTTATATGGGGAGATTCTGCAATACTATACCTGCAACTCTGGGGACTTCTGGCTGAGGTCAGTGAAGGCATCTCCTAGAGCCTGCTGCGTCTGCACAATTCTTTGAAAGTGATCGGTGAGAGCGGTGGCCAGCCTTAGGATGTTTTCATACTTGCTCTTCGTGTCTCTTAACACGTCAATCTGAGCCTCAAGTTCCAGGTCTACTGTCCGTGAGCCTCGGCCAAACTTTTCTGAGAACATCTGCTTTGTACACTGTGCAATGAATATGAACAGAGATCAGCACACTGTGTCAATGCAACCTGATGTAGTCTTTGGAACACAGACATATCCAAGCATATCTATTCCATTTTAAAAACACAGCATGCACACCTAGTGCAGAATACCTTGTACGTGTTTATGCCCCATTTCTTCACACTGTCCAGTTTCTCCACTGCTACACCACGAGAAACTTCTTCAGTTGAATTTGTGTTATGATTCGACGACCCTAAAAAGAACATAAAAGCTAGAAATAAACACACAGTGTACACAGTACTGGAGCTTCTTCTATGAGGAGAAGTTTTTAAGGCAGTGGTTTACGGAAAATAAGTGAGGACAGTGTGGACAGGGTGATGAGCATGGTGATACCTGGATGCTGCTCTGTGTGGTGGGCAAGTCGACTTGCTGCAGATTGACTTTTAGGCAAGTTAACACCCCTGGATTTCATGCGAATGTCTGAAATGAACATGCCAGTGATATAGAGTAAGAATGAGAGGAAGACATGTAAAAATGACTGTAGTGAAACATGCCAGAGCAGCTTGGGAGTGAGATATGCCGCAGAACAGCAGAGCATGAAGACCGAAGCCCCTTTCTGACATGGGATTTGTACAATTGCTGGCTTCATTAATCTGTTGAAGTAATTCAGTCATTCAGACACAGGTAGCTTCTGTGTGAATCTTCAAGCATTCCCACAATATTTGTAGAAATAACCATGGTAACTGGACTGGATATTATGTTACACAATGCTCTTATATCCAGATCAATCCTGTGTCAGTGGTACTTAAGTCATGAAATGTGACATACTGCATTCACACAACATGTGTAAATGTGTGCACTTTCTTTGATTTGTAAATGATCATGGAGAAAGTGCGCTGCTATACGCTGTGCATTCAGACATGAAGCCACCCACGGAAAAGGAGTGAAAGTCCAAAAGGAGCTTAAAAACTGTTATGCTCTGCAGTGGAGGACACATAAAGAGCAGGGTTAGAGGGGTTTTGAAGTAAATAATAATCCACCAGGCAGGCTTCACATGCACAATAAAAGCATTAAAAAAAGAAGATGAAAATGGAATTCATGGGATGAGATGCAAGTACCAAATACTGGCAAAATGGTCAAAGTGCATTTCAAAGTACAGAACAGAACAGATTTTTTTTAGACATCAACACAACATTGAATGTGACAGCCCTGTAATATCTGGTTAGTTCATTCCTATTTTTGAAAGATGCCAAAACATTACTTCTTGCTGAAGCTGTTCAGTGGCAGAGTTCGGTAGGTACAAGCAAGGTTACATACAAGTCCGCTCATCAAGCCTCAAAACCTCTTACAAGGGGGCAAATAAGACCAACATATCAAGGTTAAATAAGAAAGAAAGGGGTTATTAGAATACACAGCCACCTGGTCCTGGTGCAGGGGCTTGTCTTCTGTCCAGATACTCAGGGTTGAAGTAAACTGCGGGTCCTAAGGAATATGGATGTTTGTGACATAAACCAGGAGACTGCAGGTCAGCAGCTCTCTTGTGACACACAAAGAAAAGCTCCTGCTATTGTTTCTTAAAAGATGCACTAAGTATCAACCTCTTTCAGTAACTGAAAGACAGTACAAGCACTGGTCTCTGACACAGCCTTTATCTAACAACAGCCAGAACATCGTGAAACAAAATATCTTTAAGGGTATTTGTGTCTGTCAGCCCCTGGAAAAGGAGTTGCCGGGTCAACTGTACTTATTAAAAATCCTGTTCAACTGATGTGTGCGTTTTAGCATGAAAATTACTTACTGAACAGCAACTTGTACTTAATGCACCTTTAAATTTGTAATATCCCTGCAGATATTACTTAGAAGAATAAACAACAAAGCAATACCTGCAGAGAATGGAAGCATGGTTTGCTAAAAGTACCTTTGATACTGCTGGTTGGGATGATGCCCCCTGCAGGTCCTCCATAACCTCCAGAGACAATACTGGTTTCATTCAGGTTGGGTCCAGACACCATCACCTGCTGCAGATCCTGAGTTAAAACAGATAAACACAATTTATTAGCTTTTTCAAAGTATCTGCATGGATGTTAAGGTGCACAAAAATGCTGAGCACACTTGATAATTTTATGAAACAATGTAATTTTATTTAACTTGGTCAGACCCACAAAGCTGTAATCTTAAACATAAACATAAATGTATGTCATCCATAACTTTTAGTTAAAATGAACAGAATCTATTTTTTGTAAAGCTGACCTGCAGACAGATAACATACAAAACATTTGATTATGAGCTAAAAATAATAATATTACTTGTAGTAGTCATACATTTCATTATAGAGGCCTCAGTATTGCTTATTATAATGCTACTAATGTCATTGCTGGTGTAGCTTTCTTAATCCCAATGGGCTTTACAAATGGTGCACCAACCTTTTAATTTTACTGACAGTTTGTCATGCAAACGCTCATTTATGTCACAGTTTCCTCCTGTAGGTGCTCTGAACGATTCAACGCTATCGGGTTGGAGGTACACATCTACTGTCCCTAGCTACAGGCCTTTACATGGTAGGGCAACATTTGGCCTAACCAGCCATGAACTGTACAATCACGCAAAATTTAGGGAAACTAGATACTGTTATAAGCAAAATAGCATTATTCATTTCCACAGTGAGTGAAGTGAGATGAAGCATCACTGACCTGCTCCAGACTGTCATCCTCTGGGAGAGTGCCTGTGTCTCCATTGCTGTTAATGGGGATCTCCATGGTTGCAGCCTTGCTCATGATACTGTCTGCCATAATGAAATCTCTGCAAGAAAGACAATAGCACATAAAGCTGGGGGAGAAAAACAGAACAATGCTAGCCTACATCGACACAGAATAACAGCTGGCTTACACTGATGCTAACGTGATTGACCAATAGCAACGGTGCTGATGTGGCTTGCTAGTGGGCTACTACCTGACAGCTAGCTTCAAATCCTCACCACTGTAGCTGAGACTGGAGCCAAGTTTCAGTCGCCAGAAAGACTAAACAAGTCGCGCGGGCAGTAGCCTTGAAATATAACATAAATTAAACGGAGGCACCGCTGTTTTTACTTAGTATCCCATACTACATCCATGATTACTCATCCTGAATCGTTCACATGATCATCTACCTGCTTCCATAGAATTCAGACAGAAAATCCCTGCATCCAGCCAGGTCGCAGCTTTAATAGTACGACTTCGGAATAAAGGTTTTCGTGATTTTTATTTTTGTTGTGCGTCACATTAGGTTCCATTTAAAAGCACTGTGCTTCAAGTGAAATGCACAATGTCTGTTTTTTAAATGTACTTTATGTGTCAAAAAGCAGGCTGAGAGGGATACTGTAATTTGATGCTCTTATTTTGAAGAATAATAACGTATCATCGTCGTCAAGCCTCCCCCATCTTCCACGTCGTACGGTGCTGACGTAGCGTTTTCCTCTGACCTGCAGTACCTGATTTCTCCTGAAGATGTCAGTAGCACTTCACGGCCCAGTAGAGAGAAACTAGAACATGGCACATCTAGAGTAACTCAATCAGTAGTATGGCTCTGGTCCCTCAAATGTTGTGAGTATTAATCATTAAAGCCTAGGTTGTTACATCTTAATCGTTCCATTGATTGCAATATCTCCTGAAATCAAACTGTATAAATACAGTCGTTTGTTTTGAGTTGTGAAAGGCTTTGAGATAGACCTCACCCTAGCAAACTGGCCGCACTTCCAATTATTTGCCTCATTTATTTCAATCAGGGACGCAAGCAAAGTGCACATGGCCTCCAAATGTAGAAGTTTTTCTCTAATTATTCCGGCTCGAAGCAGAGCACCAACCCTTCACACACGCCCACAAATTCCTAATGGTTAATTTTCCTCCATGCACTGATTACCTACAAGTGACATATTTTCCAGACTTCTAAAAATCTCCTCCTTCAATTTCAGTATTCTACACAGCATGAATTTGACAAGCGCATTTCTAGGATCAAAGCAGGCAAAATGGCAAATCATGTAGGTTATGCATGTTTCCCCCCCCTAATCAACAATCCACTTGTCAGCAGTGATTTGACTGGCATGGGTATGTGCTCCGCCTTTGATTCTCCTTCCAAATTAATATTATTTTAGCACCATCTTGGACTACTGCGTGCTGCACCAAGTATATTTTCTTGTTTCCTCAAACATTCTCAATTATGTCATCCCATGTCCAAAACGAACTAGATGTATGTAGAACCATGGTGGAATCTCGAGGTCAAGATGGTCAAACGGTATAGGTGAGCCTTTTATCCCAGATACACAAAACTGCAGTTGAAATTCTGCCTACATAAACTTTTGTATTTCAAAAACTGACAATCTGTCAAGCATGACCATGCCACATTGCAGTCAGCCATGTGTGAAAAGTTAAGACAGTTTTTGATGTGGTCCCATTAATCATGCATTCAGCAAAACTGCCCTGCATGCGGTCCTGAAACCGGAAGTCACTTTTCTGATGTGCATCATAAATACACATTGAGCAGAGTTATCACAAACTTTAAATAGTGGCTTTGAACGAAGGGATGTGCTCCAGGTTGCAGTAGTGCAATAATAAACTGAACATAATGATCAAACTAACTAAACCTCGACTCCAAACAAAGCATATCAGTGTTTCTGCCTATTGCATCTGTATAGTCACAGTTGGGAAAAGAAGGTGAGCTCAGACCAGTGTGTCTTCCAGAAATGGAAAAATGAATGTGTCATAGTCATAGGAGGAGTTTCAGTTCTTGTGATAATGCTCAGTTTTGGTTCCAGCTTTCATTTGTTATTGTTATGGCTTTTTTGTGTTTGCAGAGCCCTCAGTGTTTCCTTCTCTTGTCTCATTGTGTCTCATCTCTCTGTTAGTGCTTTTGTCTTCCTGCGTTCTCCTCTTTAACAACATGGGTACGTTCGACTTACCTCCTACCTGCTTTTCCTTAACCTAGACCTGATGGAAAACATCAGTGAGGTCTAGGAGGAATGTGGAAGAGAATTCATGAAGACTTAGGAAAAATAAGGGTGTTATGCAGAGAATCCAACTGTTGTTACACTATACTCATTAATGATGTGACAGCTGATGTCTGTCATATTAATTAAAGACTACAAAATCCGACTTCACACCAGTATGTTCTTACACAGTTGTTTCATGCAGGTGATATAAATGAAAAGCACACAAAAAAGAAAGAAATTTATTTCCTTTCCATTCGTAAAGGATGGGCCAGTGTGTCCTTTTCTCAAAGGGGGTAATATAGGAAGCATTAAAGCACCTTTCCTTAGCATTTAAAGACCTTCATTTATTATGGCTGACAGACAATTACTTCTGGCTGGGTCCTACTGAGTTAGGAACCCTCCTAAACCAAATGTATTATTCTTTTGCAGCTCTTGTTAAGTGTTAGTCCTCATGCCTCATGTTTTACTGTAAGGGTTATCATGTATTTTGCCCTAGTTTTATTTCCTGTCCTTGTCTTTCCTGTGATTGTTGGCCCCACCCTCATTGTTTTCAACTATTGTTGATTGTCTTACCTGTGCCTTATTCCCAGTATTGTCTCACTGCAATATCACTTGTCTTTGTCCAATCATTTGCAAGCCAGTTATCGGTGTTCTATATTTGGATCCTTTTCACAACTCTCATAGTCCCTCTCTATAGTATACTTAGCTGTTCTAAGTATAATAAGAATACTATGTTTATAGTTTTAGATACTTTGTAAAAGAAAAATTACAAATGTTTTTTGTCTTCCTTTCACACTAGAGGGGCGTGCTACCAAATGAGATTAGTGGGTTAGCAAGCTATGTCAAGCTGAAAGCCACAGGGATCTGTGTCATGAAAGTGCCTCTCTTTTTACCTGGCTGAATCACCATGGTAACTTACTCTGACCATATAACCTGGTCAGGAGAAGGTTATGTTCAGAATTTTGTTTTAAGATTGGCTGGAAGCACCAGATTTTCGCTGATCCTTTCATTTAAAGCATGTTTTAAGTGAAATTCGTTGTCAAATCATTAAAGCCGCTGAATGATGCACAAACTGTGTGTGGCATTGTCATGGGTCGTTTTCATGTATTAATTTGGTGAAGCAGAAAATGTACAAATGTATTTATACTTATTATAATCTGCTGCTTAGTCTGTGTTACATTGCTGGAATTGTACATAAGGCACATCCTCTTCTGTTGATCCAAATCCAGCTGGAGCCGATCCCAGCTGCCATAGGGAGAGTGGCAGGGGACACCCTGGACAGGTCACCAATCTGCCTGGTCAACCAAAAAATTAATTTCCCTTTGATCTGCTGACTAACTAAAGTAATATCCTTTATCAGGCTACGGGACATTAACCTTTAACGTCTGAATTTCTCCAGTTTAAAATTTCAGAGCTCTAATGTGCAGCCACACCTTAGAAATAAACAGGAGCCCACTCAGCAATAAAATGATTACCTGTAATTAAAATGTTTATTTTACCGCTCTGTGCACTAACAGATTAAGGATTTTCTGTAGCATTAATCTCTTGTCATTTTTACAACAGTGTTGCATTTTAATGTTATCTTTTTTTTAAATCTTCTTTATAGATTTTTAATCACTGTTTTATCATCATAATCATCCAAGGATGTCTTTGATTGGGGTAGGCAGCACTCAGGCAGATCATTTTGCCATCTGACCCGTGAAACCACCCTTTTTATATGAACGTGCTGATGCAGAGAGCCCAGCTTAATGGAGACAGTTGATAACCACCGTCACGATACCCGTTATCTCCAACTGGAGCTTTAGGTTTGGTCGAGAAGCATAGCTGTGTCAAATGTGTTTATTCCTGGCATACGCCTCAGGACAACATGTCTTCATATCTTCTGTTGAGAACGTTACTTTATCTGGTGAAGCCACTGAAAGATGGAAAGCAAAGATTAATTGACAGCAGCTTAACAGATCTACAGTACATACTGTTGACATGGTGACCCAATACAACTGCATGTTTTGAGTCATAAAACTACAAATATACACGTGTCTTGTAGGTCAGTACCTATAAGAGATAAATGTATTATTTTTAACGAAAGGTACACTGCTAAACATTTTCATGGTTAGCCAGCTACTATTTTTTTTTCTTTTTTTTCCTTTCCTTTCTTTTAGTTTGAGTGAATAATTGAATGGGTATGTTTTGGCTTCCCATTTGAAAAGAGTGACTGACTCAACATCCTTTAGCATAGGTACCTTTGACCTGCACATTATTCATGGGCCACAAACAGTGTGCGGTTGCTGAAACTTGACTTTTAAAATGAGTTGTTTTGTTTTTTGAGTGGAAGTAAAAGAGATTAGGTGCAGCAGTTAGTCATTTTGAGATGTAATTAAGGCAAATTAAAGCAGAGTTTAATCACAAATTCTCTCACGTTTCAGCATTTTAATGTTATAAACTCCACAGATGTAGCTTCGTGAGAGTTTTACATTTTAACAAGGCAGCAGTGGGGGGTTTATACCAGTTGTCAGACTTCCATCTATACTCAAACCCTTCCTTGGATAGAAATTTCAGAACACCGAATTCTCACAGACGTGAATGTAAATTTAGTGTCGCCTATAAATTTAGAACAAGGCCAAATTAAATTTTAAAGGTCTCAGGCGGGGTTCCCACTGAGACGGTAGAGCATGTCACAAAGGCAGCTTATGTATGTGAGGAGAGCGTGAGACCTAAACCACAGTGCACCCCTCCCCCTGTCATTTTAGAGAATAGTTCATCTTGTTTTTAATGATCATTAAGCATGCTTCCAGATGTTGGTAGGGAAATTCATCCTCACACAGTCTCCTGTGCTCTACAGCAGAAAACAAGAGCAGAGTGATACAGGAGATCCAAGAAAACAACGGAAAGTAGTGCTGCCTGCATCTTTAATTCATGGGAATTACAAACATTGCTCAATTCTTACATTATAGAACATATGGAAGTGATTTTTATAGTGTATTTAATGTGCCATTTCAAACAGTCTATCAACCTCTTTCCCAACTGGCGATTCAGTCAATGCTCTCTCAGAGACAGAGCAATTCATCATCGTAATGGGTCCTTGGATGCTGTAAATGTCAGTTATAGATTGTCTGAGAAGGCAACACATAATCAAGAACAATAAATATTTATATGCTTTCACTTTACTGAATATTGCGCTCAGAGTAATTATAAATTTATGCTTTGAAAAGGTTTCGGTTACAAAGAAAAACAGATATGGTTCCGTGTGAATATGTTT